AACTGAGTCTTTGACTGAGTGACCCTTCCCAGGGACCACAGCCAGGACCCTTGGCCAGGCCTCCCATGCCTCCACTGTCCTCTGGGTCCAGCTCCTGAGGCCAGGTGTCTGAGGCTGCTGACGGTCACCACAGGCTCAGGGAGCTTTGGCTTAGTGGCAGCCATATTGACAACGAGCTGGTGGGTACAGCTCACCTCAAGGTCAGCCAGGGCCAAGGGAGTTGGGCAGCTGCTGTGAGCTATGAGGTCAGGACTTGCTGTGTAGTGGGACAGCTTAGGAGGCTGGGTTCTGTGAAGCAGGGTTGAGACAGGATGGCAGACACAAGTGGAAACAGCTATGGGAGCTCCACCTGCGCCCCCCCATCAAAGAAACATGGGGCTCTTTCACTCCCCTAGTCCTCTGGAGCCCCCTACGAGAGAATATGAGGTCAGGACTTGCTGTGTAGTGGGACAGCTTAGGAGGCTGGGTTCTGTGAAGCAAGGTTGAGACAGGATGGCAGACACAAGTGGAAACAGCTATGGGAGCTCCACCTGCGCCCCCCCCCATCAAAGAAACATGGGGCTCTTTCACTCCCCTAGTCCTCTGGAGCCCCCTACGAGAGGCTGACAGGAGTTATGGGCAGAAAATGGAAGGGCCTTCCTTGCTGAGGGACATGACTCGCCTGTTGCTCACCATATCCCATGTGCCACTGCCACGATGCAGGAGCTGGCCCTGGTTATCGCTCAAAATGCCCATGGCCTGGCCCGACCCTGCCCCTCCACCCTGTTTCTCCTCATGCCTGAGCCCCTTTCTCTGGATCTCCCACCTGCTCCAGGGGGCTCCCTCCCCACCAAATACCCAGGGTGCCTTGGGTGGCTCTGGTCCCTGCATCTGTACCCTGGCCTCACAATCTGGCTTCTGGGTATGAGTTTGTTTCTCTGTTGCTCCCTTAGCAACTGCTGAATGGAAGCCTGTAGCAAGGGAGAGGGAGCTGGCACAGAGCTACAAAGGAAAACCCTTTGGGTCTAATCCTGGGCTGGCCTGATTTGCTCTTGGGCGAAGCCATGGGGGAGTTTCATTGTGGAATCCTGGGGTCATTGCTTCCATGGCCGCCAAGTCGCCAGTCAGCGGGGCTGAGGCTGGAGTGTGAAAACCGGGGCCAGGGGAAGCAGGGAACAGTGAAAATTTCCCTCCCTCTAGCACAGGGGTCTCCTTCTCTGGGGGACAGGGGTGTCTCTAACACCAGCTGGTGGCTTGGGTGGCCACACACCTTCAGGTCTGTACCACCTGGACGCCAGCCAGCCAGGGCTCATGCCTGCTCCAGGTGAGAAGTGTGGCCCTGGCCCAGGGTGTGGGTGCCACAGCCCGGCGGGGGGACTTCAGTCCCTGACTCTGCCACTCCCTAGTCAAGTAACCACGAGCAGATAATTTCACTGCTGTAGGCCTCAGTTTCCCCACCTGTATGAAAGAGATAATATGCTCCTACCTGAGAGGCTGCTGGCCTGGCCTGCTTCTTTGCAGAATTTGATAGCTAGTCCTAAAATGCATACGAAATTTGCCCCCAAATAGCTAAAAACAACTTTGAGAACAAAGAATAAAGTTGGAGGACTCACTTGTCCTGGTTTGCACTTGCACACTTACTACAGGCTGCAATAATTGAAACAGCGTGACAGTGGTGCAAGGATAGATACGTACAGTACGGCAATCAAATAGCACTGAGTCTCACAGTGACGAAGCGTGATTTTATGAGGGCGCTAAGCCCATTCAATAGAGAAAGAATTCTTTTCAACAAATGGTGTTGGGATAACGAGATTCACAGGGAAGAAGAGACTGAGTTTAGACCCCTACCTCACCCCATATAATAAAAAATTTGTTCTGGGTTGTGGGTCAGGGGTAGGACGCCTGCCTAGCACACATAAGGCCCTGGGTTCAATCCCCAGTACAGCCAATGACTTGGTGAAGTATTCTGAAGACCCACTGGACTTTTTCTTAGTATAAGCTTTTTTGAAGCTCACTCTGTTGTTGAGGCTGGCTTCAGGCTCCCTGGGTAGCCCAGGCTGGCCTTGAACTTACAGCAATCCTCCTGCCGCAGCTCTCGAGGGCAGGGATGGCTGGCATGCGCCACCACAGCAGGCAGATCTGCTGCAATAGACAGGAAATATGCCCGCAGGGCAAACTGCCCCTAAGTGTGAGGTGGGAAGAAGTAGGATGAAGAAGAAACTGAGCTGGAAGGGCTCCTGCACCTGGCGTGGCTCTGGTCTCCGCAGCAGCCTCTAGCTCGGCCCGCCGGGAAACAGGCTGTGACTGGAAGGATTTGCTGCCGCCCTGCGGAAACGGAGAGGATTACAGCCATGGGGACAGAGGCCTAGTTCCTGCTGGTGGGGTGGAACGAAGCGATTAGGTTTGTTGAGACCCAGGGAGAAGAGCGACAGCCCTTGGGGAGTTCACCGTCTTGTAGGTTGGAATACAAACAACTACAACCTACCAAACGCTCGGATGAGCCGCAGCCACAAGCCAGGGACAGAGCAAACGTGATAGCCACGGCACAGCCGTGGAGTAAGGAAGCCCGGAAGAGGCGTGGGAGAGGAGAGCAGCGGAGCTGGAGGCTCAGGGGGAGCAAAGGCTAAGTAAGACGGGCTGGCACGGAGGCTGTGGTCAGTACGCGTGCAACCGAATGACCACCAGCTTCCCGGAGCATGAGCTTTGTGCATAGTTGATGCCTCCAGGGAGTCATGGAGTGGGACGCATAGACTGGAGTTTCCAGGGGAGAGAGGAGGCCTCTGAGGACCTCCTCTTCCTCTTTCTCTCTTCACCTGCTTCTTCTAGGGCCCTGGGGACTGAATCTAGGCCTTCACACTAAGCTACATGCCCTTTTTATTTTTTGTTTTTAAAACAGCCTAAGTCACTAAATTGCCCAGGCTAGACTGGTCCTTGCGATCTTCCTGCCTCAGCCTCCCAGAGTACCCCTTTTTATTTTTTGTTTTTAAAACAGCCTCTTAAGTCACTAAATTGCCCAGGCTAGACTGGTCCTTGCGATCTTCCTGCCTCAGCCTCCCAGAGTGCTGAGATTACAGGTGTGTGCTAACACAGGTGGCCCAGGGGCCCTCTGTGCCAATAATGATGGCACCTCTGCCACTCCTTCTTATGGTGCTTTTTGGTCACCTCTCCCTCATCGGTGTCTTCAAATGACCTTGTAGTGGGCAGGGCTAAACCTGCCATAGTCCTTCCCTTGGATGGATGAGGAGACAAGGCCTGGCCTTGTCCTAAGCTGTCTGGTGATTTGTTTTCAGGTATGGAGGAGAAGGGGATTTGGGGAGGAGATTAACATGAGCTAAAATAGAAGTTTTCTGAAGGGTCAGGAGAGACCCAGGAATGGCAGACACTCCTCCCAGCAGTGACCTGAAATGCAAACGGATCAGGAACCCACCATGGCTCCCCATTGCCCTGGAACAGAGCAATGCCATTAGCCTGGCTGTCACAAGAGGCAGTGTCATGCAGCGGTTGGGAGCAGGGCTCCGCTTTGTCACCCTGGCTGTGTGATCAGGTCACTGTAACCTCAGGGACATCCCTGGACTTGTGCCTTCTTATCCTGCCCGTAAACTGGACAAGGGCTTGTGTGAGTAGCAGACAGGTTTGTGGCCGTGACATGCTCAGGCCCAGTGCCTGTTTTTACTGCTAGTCAGGGCCTCATTGTGTACGCCTGTCATCAGGTCCAAGCCGGCAGGCTTCTCCTGAGCACAGTACTCTGGGTCTTTCCAGAAGGGATTCCTTCCACCTGGAGCCTTCTCTGCACCATCCCGGTTCCCAGAGCCTTTAAAACATCACAGCTCCCCGGCCAGGGATTTAGTTCAGTGGGACCACGCCTACCTTGCAAGCACAAGGTCCTAAGTTTGATCCCCAGCACTGGAACAGCTCTCACGTGCTGTTTTCCTAGGTCCTCTCTAGTGGGAGTCCCTCCTTCTCTGCCATCCTAAGTCTGTAGCAGCTCGGAGGACTTAGGGGGAAGTTTTCAAGGATGAGCACCAGGTCTTTATCTCTTTATGACCCAATGGTGTCGCCACAGAGTAGCAATGAATTCTCAACAAATGCTTGTGGAAGAGAGCAGGAAAGAGGGAAGGAGAAGGAAAGATGGAGGGAAAGGAGAGACGGGAATAAAAGATGAACTAGAGAACTGGACAAGGAGATGCATTGCCCAGCTACTTGGGAGGCTGAGGCAGGAGGATCTCGAGTTTAAACCTAGCATGGGCACTTTAAGGGAAATCCTGTCCCAAAATAAGAAGTTTTCCAGAAG